CGAAAGATGAGAGGGAACATTTTCTGGAGAATACTCTCCATACCTGTAGTTTGAAATTAAATTGTTTTCCGAAGAATTTCACGAACAAACGGAGTAAGCGCATTTCACTCTCGTACTTCAAACTTTAACGCAAGCGAATTAAAAGAAGGTCAAAGTTCGATGAGTTTTCGAACTTTAACTTCAAAAGTGAACCTACATTTTCGATTTCATCTTCGTGAACTATTTACATATATTCTCTTCTTATCTTTCCGCTAAAGGTTTTACCCTACTGGATTTAATCAGACTTTTTAAATTTCGTCTCAAAGGAAAATGAGATTATGGGAATTACATCGACACAACATCCATCGCTTGCCGAAAACATTTTCTCTCCCTCTCTCTTCTTCTATCGGTCTGTTGTTACTACATTATCGACGGATAAAAATACTCGCAAGTGTTTCTCTATATAGATTAGTACACGAGATGGTAACTAATGTATCTATACTTCACTAAATAAGCAGCTTCTTTACCGTTGTTCACCAGTTATCTTCGAACGACAGCAGAACGGTTTTAATTTCACTAGAAATTGTAATTTTAATAAACAAAATTTTTTCAACGATATTGTTAAACAAATTTAAATTTATTTACGCACACGTGTTAAACTGAATATTTTTACAAAGGGGTATATGTATTTTATACAATATGTATATATTACCGAACAAGTACATACTATGACAGTACACCAAGTATAAGAACAAGAACGACTACTAAAAATACGCAAATAACTGTAACTGAAATCACAATATGGTTAAACTACAAAACTATCCAGTTAACCAAACAATTATAACCTATTCTCTAGCACTTAATCAAAAATGTCCTATTCACTGTTTGATTGAACATATCTGGCGCGGAAGTTCAGCCAGAATCCATTCTGCGGGAACAATATGAAACTCTGAGTGCTGAACTTGATCGGGATCTGAGTCTTGTCACAAGGTTCCAGTTCACAGCGCCATAATAGATAGAATAACACCATTTTGCACTTTAACAGGGCAAATCTGTTTCCGATGCAAACTCTAGGCCCCAGTCCAAATGGTATATGAACCGACTGAGGTATTTCTCCGTTCAAAAATCGATCTGGATCGAACTTGTTCGGTTCAAAGAAATATTTCGGATCTCGTTGAATCGCGAATAGAGGGAACCATATGACATCACCAGGTTTCACTTTGACCGGTTTCGCGCCAGATGTCGCTGGTGGTAGCTCGAATTCTTTTACACATACTCGATCCAAGAACGCAGCTAGAGAATACAGTCTGAGCGTTTCGTTGATTACAGCATCCATGTACGACATTTCTTTTATAGATTCGTAAGTCGGTTTTCCGTCAGTTTTACGAAGCACTTCTTCGATCTCTATACGCAGTTTCGCTTGGACATCAGGATTCGCGGCGATCTCGTGTGCGAGGAAACAGATTAAAGTGGAAACAGAGTCGAAGCCAGCCAGGAAAAAGATGAACGCTTCACAGGTCATTTCCTCGATGGTTAGCGCATTTCCATCCTTGTCCTTGGCCTCCATCATCAGTTGAATCATGTCTGGCCGGTAGATTCCCTGTTTTAGACATGGTTCGAGCAATGTTGGTGGTTGGTTTTCATTAAAAAGAAAAAATGAGGTTAAGGAAGGTCAAAGAATAGAATAGTGAGATACCGATAAACATGGCAAGTGCTTATAATAATGTGATAAAATATTCGTGAGGTTTATGATGAGTTGAAAGACATCTGAAGATGGAATAGTGACAAAAAAACGTTGACATTTAATTATTGTGACATCCGTCGCAGTAGTAGTAGTCTAAAAATCATAGAACGTAAGATAATCTTATGTAATCATTATGCGTATAACGATTATAACGTAGACAGGCTGATACATATGTCATAGTCACGTAAGACGTCATCGTGGAGATAACTTTGGAAGTTTTCGTCGTGCTTCATAAAACGTGTATAAAAGTGATTATTTCTAAAATCCCGGGATGGAATTAACGCGTGCACTGTCGCGTGAAATTCAAGACTCCTTCATAAAGCCGTCGAACCAAATTAAAAGATCCCTCTAGGATGGTATTAGATTCTTCGTGCTTCTGCGCCCCCCCCCCCTTCCCCGTTCACTTCAGTATTAAATCGCGGAACATCCTGATTCTTGTTCGTTTAATGAAACCCGCTGTGACAGTAAATGTCACAGATCACCGCCACTGGATGAACGCAAGCGAAATCTACGAGATTACTCATATAACTTAACACTTTGACGGTCGCTGTCACGTACAGTTGGAGGAAGCGATATAGTGTGGTCGTAAATTAAAGCATTACGCGCGGCGACATCGATTGATGTGGCTACACTCAAGGCCGTGCGTCATTTGTCAATTAACATTTAAAATTTCCGTTTATAATCTTTCATTAAATGCTATACGATGTAAAACTTCCGTCGCTTCCTGCTCTATGGTAATTGTCCTTTTGGTAAAGCTGCAATTATTGAGGATTAAGAAATAATTTCTTTCAATATACTGCAATTACGTGTACTTTGACGTTTTTGTACTTTCACCGATTTTATTACTTCATTGTACGCTTCCATCGACTATACGTATAATTTCGTAGTCAGCGGTTATTAGTCATCATCACGTAGACGTGATTTCGCTCTACCAATAATTATTGACTGGCATTATGTAAATTATTTCGGTCGCGGATTTGATGTTCATTTTTTAACGCATTTCGAATTTTTTTTAATAATTTAATGGAAAGTACTTCCTTGAAATGTGCAGCTGTCAAAGTGTCAATCGCTGTCTCGAAGCTCGCGTGGGTCTTCCGTCTCTTTGTAGTAATAAGTTTCTACCAATACTGTGAAATTCACGGATCCCGGTTATATCCGTGTTCTAATTCGATCATAACGAAAAAAATATATGACGCGTGTACGGAAAACGAGGAACAAAAACCGTATAAGTTAAGCTATATGGTGAATACACGTGTAGCATAAAACGTGTAATATTTCACTGGCGTGATGGAATCTGTTTTGACGGTAGAATCAAGAAAATGCCACAGTGACATTTTTGTCGTGATATTAATGTACGTATTTATATGTTGTGTTACTTTGAGGGCTAGCAAAAGAGAAGGTGAATAAGGAAAGATGTGTTTTGATTTATGATTCTTTAGCAATAAAGAATATATTGTGAGTTACATTTAATAATTATGAATTTGGGTTGAGTTTAAAGTATTTGTGTAAGCTATCTAAATCCTTTTTTTTCATTAACATATTATTAAAAAAGTTGTCTGTTTTTAATATTACAATAAACAGATACAGGAAGACAAAAAAAATTTTACTTTCCTAACCTTACGTTAAATTTTCCATTCAATAACACAATGAAACACTACAATCCCAAAAATAACTGTGCCTACTAATTCACATACATAACTGCCCTCCAACCACGTGCTGCTTACCTTCTCTTTCCTCGCCCTAACTGTATCGGCAATAACACGTTGGAAATAACGACGTGCATTCTCACTGAACAATCTTATGCTGAGTAGCTTTGATAACGTCGGAAAGTTTTTGCCCATAATGAATTTCAATGATAAATTCGACATAAAATTCATCGTTTCCTTGGCGAACGTGTAGAATTCATTCTGAGGATTTTTCATCGAATCCACCGAAATTCCAAAGCTACAGGTAGCTACCACGTCGTTGGTGTATCGACCAAAAATCTCTTTCAAATTGAACACTTGTCCCTGCTTCGAGTCTTTTGCGATATAATCCGTGAAGCTGTTTGCGCAGTCATCCATTAGATGGAACATTGTCTTCATTTTGCTGGAGGTAAAAACAGGGCTTAGTAACTTCCTCATTTCTCGCCAGTGGTCGCCACGAAGAGCAAATAGATTTTTCCCTATTAACGGATCCAGTTCTTTGTCAACAAAGCCACGGTGGTCGCAAAAGTGGTCGAAGTTTTTCACTGCGATAGACGTGATCAATTCAGTGTCGCGAATCACTATTACCGGTGTTGCGAAGTTGTAGAAACCGAAGTATTTCACTTGCGAGAAGCGAGAGTAGAGGTGTTGAAGGTGTTCGAACAAGGAGATACGACGGAACAGCGATGGAGCCATATTACCTAGGATGGGAACAGGTGATTCGTGTAGTAAATCGAGCTGTTGGAAGTGAGTCATGGATTTCCATACGAAGTGATAGACGAGTAACAATCCGAATATGAGAAATAAAGTTAGTGTGAGTGGATCCATTGTGATAAGGTGAAAAATTCGTAAGAAATGGATGTTAAGAGTGAAATTTTCGAGGTTGGTTAACGCGAGTGACTTGAGAATGCAAGTGACGTTGGCGTATTGCGCGTGGAATGAAAAGGTTATAAATTATATACGCGAAAGGTTATCTGTGGAAGACTTCTTTATTTGAAAAACCGTAAGGGGCTATCGTATCGTTCCTGCCACTTTTCATAAAAATTGTTAACAATTAATTATTGAAAGGACGTAGGGCCTTCAAAACTACATGAAAAAATTGTTAGAGGTTAAACATTGAATTATTAATGATTTTTCACATGCCGACTTGACTTCGGATCTGAGATAGAGCTGCTGCTATCGATTATCGATACGTTATCGATATCTTATCGATACTTAACGATATATCGATAATATCATTAAGATATCGTTAAGGTGTGTAGGGGTAGAATATAGTTTTAGCTTTTATTAAATTTAATTAAATAGTGTTTTAATTAATTTTTTTATTAAATTTTAACGATATTATCGAAATAATGAAGTATCGATAACATTATCGATAGCAGCAACTCTAATGTATATCTGCCTGATGCTGGCGTAGCGATGTTGAAGGTGGCAATTCATTTTATTGGTAATTCATAACTTAACCGTAAAACAAACCGTGTTGCGCTATACCTACGCGAGTTACGTAACTGTTAGTGTTTGCGTTAGTGACGTCCAGAAAACTTCACCACGTGGTTTTTGGTGTTGATATGACAGTTTGATAAGAGGTTAAGTTCAATTCGCGTCTGTGAAAGATGTTACTGATGTAATCTGACAGAACGGTTAATTTATGTAATAGATTATTGAAATTCGAGAGTGTGGGGGATATATGTAGGTTGAATTTAAAATGTTAGTAGCGAATATGTAAGCAATTTTTTAAAAGTATTCTTTTTCTCAGAAACATGGTATTTAGAATTATCTTAAAAAAGTATTATGGATACCACGTAGTACCGCGATAAAAGAAATAGTATTATTACTATACCGCGATAGTATTTCATTGCGTCAACATTTGTAGAAACATCTTTCTATTTAGTGTGCAATCTCTGTGAAGCAAATCTCTTGTTAAATTGTTTTGCGCTTGCCTGCGCGTGTAACCAAGAAGTACTCATCTGTACATATTTGCTCGTACGTGTAGTGATGCAGTAATTTATAATCGTTACAAATGTGTAACGATATCATCGTGTACAATTATGCTTTTAAAAAATATAAGGTATTAAAATAAAGAAATTATTTCCAGAATTGATTGTTTTTATTTTATTTAGATTACTTTCTCCATTGTTACCCACTGTTAACTCTGTATGTAAACTTCATGAAGAAATTGTTTATTTATTGGAGATTAACAAAATTAAAAAAACTCGTCGAAAAATTTCGATTAAAATATGTTAATCAGATAAAGTAAACTTGTTATCGAAGGTATAAAATTTTAATATGCTACCACTGTTAATATTTGAACAAAAATATTATAAATATTCTAATGTACAACTTCTCTCCAAGACATAACCTTGAAACCGTATGCAGTGACAATGTTTACCGTTCAAGAGGCGCGCGTGCGTGCGCAACCAAACTGTTCAAATTCTTCCAGTTATTTGATTCGTCGCGATTCACTTGAAAGAGTTTGTTTTAAACCCGTATTGGTGCATGTTGTTTCTTCTGTTCCACTTTTTCTCCACCTGTTTAATTGACTTCGTGAGGTGAATTGATGCGCAACGTATTCCACCAATCAACGCTCTTTGTTTGCTCCATCGCTTCTGTCGTGCATATCGCGCTATTCAAAACTATTGCTCGCAGGTACGTTCAAATGAATCAGTTGAATTCGATCGACGTTTCCGTGAAATTTCTTTGTACAGATATTCTATGAAATATAACGTGTCTGACTTCTAATGAACACCTAAATTATTTCCGAACGTCCAATGAATATCTAAAACTAAATAACATCTAAATTAGTCCTATTCTTCCCGTTATTAATGATGCAAGGAATTTCATTTTCCGAATAGCACTGTTTTAGCCGAGTAACCCACATAATATAGATTTGCCGTTTCTATGCATAAGGCCAAGTAAAGGGGCGGAGCAAACATGGGAGAGAAGGGCAAGAAGCGAGACGTCGGAGCAGAAACATGACACGCTTGAGGTTTTTTCATCAGTTGCCTTGAACAGGCAATTGATGCTGCATAGCGCAAAATACGTGCCTCAAGGATCTCCACAACGTTTTTGCTTTTATCGTTGTATGTAATTTATGGGAGGTTTTTAATGAAACATATGAGTGTATGTTCCTTGAATTGAATGTGAATATTTTTACTTCAATTGCTAAATTAGGTAAAACATTTTGTATAATCAAATATGGTTATATTTATAGTACTCTTCAATATCCTTGAATGGAATCTGTAAACATATATGAAATCTAACCTAACTTAACTTTGTCAAATAAATCGAAATTTTCTCGACTAAATATCACAATAAAACACTTGAATAAAACTACGTGTGTACATGTACGCGATTAATAACTGTTGTATTTGCAATATTCGACAAGCAATGATCTCAAATTTATATTAAATGTAGATACTCGGAAGATCTGTATTAAAGCAATCGCTGGTTAGTCCAATAATGACGATACGTGGTTGAGTAAATACGATTAATTTTCATCGGTTTATACGTTTCAGAATTAATACCTTTCATATTAAGCTTCATGTTTTCTGCCATGTGTGTACTTACGTTTGCTCTCGCAAAGATGACCACCCTCTCTGAGCAGAATAAACCACCAAATACACATAGAAACGAGGACCCTGTGAAACTATATGTATTTGGCAATGCTTATTATACAGAGTGACCTATAAGTTGCTTTATCACTTAAAAATTAAATAATTTTTATTATAAAAGCCGAAATAAAAATTTTAAAATAAATAGTAGAAATAAAGTGATGCAATTTTTATGTGGTAGAACTATTTATCGGCCATTCCATAAAAAGTATTAACTCGAATATCTTCAGAATTGAGTAAGTAAAAAGAAAATTGTTCGAATAAAATTTATTTATGTGAAAAAATTTATCGAAGCCCGTTATACTGTCATTGCCCTTTTTTTTCTTTTTTTCTTTTAGGAAAAAAATTTCTTTACACCATTTGGTATTTTTCCTCTCCTGTAGTCTAGATACTTCGTTCATTTATCGATAACGGTTCGATAAGTTTCTCCCACGGATCCACAGGGAAAAAAACTGTGTTATTTCTCTGCTGTATCAGTATACGTTGCAGCCAGGGATAGAATTGTTTTACGATTCATTCGTAACTGTTTCCGCCCTCTGTATCCACCTACTATCGATTCGTCGTATTGTTGACTGAAGACAAAACGATTCGCCATGCAAATCGACGAACAAGTCGCCCCCCTCAAGGGGAAAATTACAATAGGCCTAAATATAGCAAGAGTAATGGCAGGAAAAGTCACGAAGTGATTCTTATTGATGTTTATTTTAAGGTTAGGTGTGTGACTGTTGAAAAGAATGGCCAACGGCAGAGTGATCGTTTTAATTCACAATCAGTTTTCGTTGAACAACTTTGTTAGTAGCTATGTATCATTTCTTTGTATTAATTTATTTTAAAATAAATTAATTGTTAGTCAGATGTTTGCTTTTCACTATAAAATTGCTTTATAATTCAATCTAAACGTGTATAAATAATTTAAGAAATAGCTCACGCTGCTGAAAATAGACGATTAGTCACTCGAACTATTTAAAAGATCGGTTAAATATTCAGTATTAGCTTTCGAGAATGATGGATAGATTCAAGAAATGTATTGTGTAGATTAGACAGCCACGCACATAATGCTTGTAACTTTTTCGAGTAGTAGGTAGTTTTAAAAACATTCCACAATCACTGTTTAGAGTGGAGTATCATCTATAGAAATAATTAAAAAATTCAACCGAGTGTTTTAAAAGTATTTTGCATGTATCATCAAAAATAAAAAATTACTTAAATTTCTTTTATAATAACCAATATATTGCTCAACATTTGAGCAAGTCTAATTCAGTACTAAATGAAAATTCTACAGTGAATTATTCAATTCCTTACACTCACCTTATCCTGCCATTAAATTTAGGTTAGAATAAATTAAAATTAACTGAACGTGTAATCCCTTTGGGCAACGAAATGTATTATACATTACCGAAAGTACATCACTAAGGTACCACTAATTATAAATTAAGGAACCTATTCCATGTAACGATGCTACAATTTAAGTTTCAATTTTCAGTCATAGTGAACAACGTATCGCAAACCATGTCTATCTCGCCGTTATCGCGACGCGAACTGTTATCCGGTGCTGGAACCAAATGGTGCAGATTGACACATCGCTGTCATAGAATCGATCCGTCGGAAACGTTCAAAGTTGAATCCATACAAATGAAGGGTGACGATTACATAATCCGAGGATATTTATACAACGATCAAAAATAGCCGATTCGCGGTCTACTGATGGACGAGTATATCAGGATAAAAGTAATTAAACACGAGAGCAAGCTCGAGAGGCTCGTAAATCTTTCTGCTACACTTTGTATGTCTGTTGTTACACGAGAACTAGTGAAACTCAGCCTACGGGTTCTCCTCCGTTGTTTTTAGGTTAGGATAAACAAAGTATGATGTCTTTCTATTTTAAATTTAATAATCTTGAATGAATTAGAAATTTCCATTTGTTGTGCTGTTTTCTGTATTTGTTTTTAGGTTAGAAAGAGAAGGTATAATGCGTTTTTATTAAAAAGAAGCCTGAAAATTTTCATTGTCAATCAATCTTTCGTGTTTTTACTACATTCGAGAAATAAGTTGGTTACGTTGTAAATCTGTTGAAAATTATCGATCAACGTAGTATTACACTCTGTTCCTGGTTACTGCCCACAGAAAGTTACGCTTTATTGGTTATCGCATCGTAAATCCCACACGACGCATCGGTCTGTTTAATAACACGAAAACCTTGAATCACACGCTGCTATGTGCCACCAGACCACTTTATAGCGAACCACGAATTCCACAACGCTATTACGATATAACGCATTCCAGCAATTGTTTGCTCTGTGACACTGTTCTTCTTATCAATCTGTGCACATTGAACACAACGTATTGTATCGACATTTCGATTATTTATGGAACACATAATTAAATCATATACCTAAAATAAACTCTACAAAAAATTGTAGTTTCCTCAGTTACAGTGAACGCATAATATAACACGCTAAACAAATTGGATACTGTCGTAGAATGATGTCCAATAACTCATTACCATGCAGATATAGGATGGACATTATCATGAACATGTCACAGTGCAATCTTGCGCTTCATCACTCAACCGATATAGTAGACATCGGTACAATTTTCAGGAAAAATTATCGAATATCATTGAAACTGAAAAAGCAATTTTAAAGAAAATTAATTTGAATCAAGATCATAGGGAAATATATTATCATGTTTATTTTGCTTCGTAACACTATCACGTCAAACTCATTTTACCTTTCTAAGAACCGTTTACCGCTCATCGTGCCGTCGAATTCTAAACCTAACCTAAATTCATCATACCGTTCCGTTGATAAATTTCCTCGTTTGATCTTCCGTTATTTCCGGTAAAACAATTCGACAGTAGAATTTCCAGGGAGTTTCAAACGGAACTAGATTTCATCGCATATCGAAGACGTGCGGAATGTAATCGTGCGCATGTATCAATTTGATATTCTTCAAATGTTTCTGTACCGCGCCCGTTCGAAACGATCTACTTTTTTTTTCACGAAACAGCTTTCAGGAACCGCGTGGACGGATGAACTATTTTTGTAATTGTTGATACGTTCGTATCTAAATGTGCTCGCGTGACTAGAATGCTTTTGCACGGTTCACTGATGCTTGGACGCGCCATCTTTTTCCTCCTGCCGTGGCTTGTTTACATAGCTATAGATCGGTTTCTGAACACGCAGAAATACGATGCGATGGAATAATCTATAAGAGCGCGCGAATACTGGCTAATAAAACGTTTGGAATTATGTACTCGATAGAAACATTATGCATAGAAAAATTTCAAGATATAATAATCAGTAAAAATTATGTTTATTAAAATTTTATTAATATTACTAGAGTACTACTGAAATACGAAATTTTGGACTGAAACCTTTTTGTACAATCCCTCGTATGTCTCACGATTTTATCACGTTAACGTCGTTAACAAAGCCATTACGCATTTATTATATCCGAATCTGTAGAATATAATGAACAAATTACTCGTCAATAATTACAGAAAATTATTCTCATGACTGAAAGTACAACGAAAATGTCGTAATTAATTTAATTAAATAGATCTGATAATATGGAAATCTCGATAAGTATAATTGTTAAGCTTAACTTTATTTCTCATCACACTGGTAGTATAGGTTATGACTCGAATAATACAAGCACGAATTGCTTAATTTGAATTCTAACCTATAAATTGACAGCTGTCAAAAATAAATGATACGTATTTTTCGATATTTTTCATCTGTCTCACTGTTCGTGAAAATATAAATACAAATAGCTCACTGCACCATATATAGCCACGACAAAAAGCACGAGGCAATCATAAACCACAACTAAAAGAATAACACGCATAACTCGACTTTAAAACACTTTAAAACACACCTGAAGAATAACAAAATCCACTTCGGACACTCGGTTAACATTCACTCCTAAAGTGAGTCCCGCGTATTATATTACACCTGATATATAATCGTCTCACTCAATTAGAACATTCTTCGAAAGCATAAAGACAACCAGAAAAAAATAAAAATTCTTTTTTAAATTAAGATACCGAGCACTTAGTCCACGGGAAACATTTAGGTAACCGATACACATTCTTCCACTGTTGTACGACGTTCGACGGTGAGAACATTACCAGGCCGGGGCGATTAGAAAAAATAACCTTGACGTTTCACGTTCTGTTCCTTTCGAAAAACAAGTCGATGCCAGGATAAGACGTCTCTCAGCGTGCATTTTGAACTCTCTGTTTGCTTTGCACGCAAGAAAAACACAAGTACAGTCCTGTTATGAGATCGTGGCCGAAGCGACGGCGTGCATGGAAAATAGTGACGTCCATTAGCTGTCGAACCGCTGGGCAAAGAGGGCGTTGCCTTTTGCTCGGCATCGTATTGCCGCTTGAAATATACACACACAGTGAACGTTCCGCTTGAGAAAGAAAAAAAAGAGATTACCGAAGTTCACGCGTTCTTCTTCCGTCGGATGACTCTAAAAAAAAAGATTGAGTGGGCAACCGTCTGGCATCGATTCCGACGGGTTCATAGACGACCGCTTCCTTGTTTGCACCCTAAACAACGATTTGGCAACATCATAAAATCGTGAGTGCTGCCAAAGCTCAGCTTAAGCTTGTTACCTTCCCCACGGCTGAATTATTACAGTGTGTACTACTGATATGACAAGCATGTTATCGGTGAATGTAATTGTTTTATGGTAAAATCAGATGATTTGTTAGATTTTGTTATTGTACGAATGTAAAGGAGGATAAAAATATATAGGAGGTTCCAGTTGTAGATAGTAACGATGTGTGTAGTATATTCAAATTGTTAATTGCGCAAATTTGTTAGGTTAGAAATTATATTTGGAAACACGAATATTGAAATTTATAGTCAAATATTTACAATAAAATAAGGATGTTACCACTGTGCTTTCTTTATGTAAAAGCATTACACTAACTTTTTCCATACAAAAAATGTTTGTTTAAATAAGCTTCCCAGTGATTAAAATATCCTTTCACCTTCCCCACAATACACGTGACTGAAAATCCAGCTCATATAATTCTCATGAAATCTTGCTCGGCCACTGTATTATTATACACCCTGTGTACACCAACTGTAAGAAAAATCAAATTCCGACCGATAATCCAAACATCATGCTCTAACCTTATCACCAGAATACAAGAAGCTCCCTAAGCCCTATAAGCTTCTATTTCGCTCTAACCTAACCTCAATATCAATACCATTTCCATTGCCACCCGCTAACCAATCAATCCCATAAAAAAAATACGAGCGCAATATACATAAAAATCCCACTCACCGGAATTTGATTCAAATTGATGTCAGATCTTTCTCTGCTCGGACAATCTGTAGATGTCGCTGAAGTCTGCTTGAACCGCCTGCTAAACCTCAGTAGATTCCTCATGATCATGGTATTCATAACGATGATCAAAACCAACGGCGCGATTAGACTGGCGATGCTGTCGATAATGCTGATAATCTTCATCGTTTCCAGGTATTCCGATTTCAAATCGCAATACTCTTCTCCGTCCTTGCTCACCACACCAGCTGTCACGAAGGAGTACGAGTGACTTGTCAACGCCAGTATTACCAACACCAACACGATCGTCTTCGCTCTCGCTATAGTGCATATGTGTGGTCTGTGTAAGGGATATTGCACCGCTATGAACCTCTCCACAGTGAACGCAACGATCAGCCAGACGCTCAGAGAGCTGCATACAGCGCTGACGTAGACCAAAGTCTCACACCAGCCATCTTTGTTGAACACTTTCCATCCTAACGTATTATTCAGCCAGACTAACAACAGAGTAACCAGGAAACCGAAATCTGCCGTGGCAAGTGCTGCCAGGTAGTAACTGGAGCTTCGTATCCTTAAATGCGTGTTTAGGAACACGACACAAGAGAGTAGGTTGCCTATCAGGCCTAGTAATATTATCGAGGGAATGTAGTATTGATGGAAAAAATCGAGGAGGAAGTACAACGAGTGACAGTCTTCTATTGGCTTGTCATCGAAGTCTAATGCTGGATCGAAACTGCGATTACGGTAGCTGTAATGCGTCAGATTGGCCCACATGGTTGGCGAGACTGAACGTCTGCCGCGAGATGACGCGTCCATGTTCGGGGATTCCTGTATGCACCTCGTGTGTGTGTTGAACGTCGACGTGATGGAGAACATGATGTTCTTTTTTTATTTAAACAAATCTTTTTTTTAGTGAAATACACTTTTCAAGAAGGATTTTTCTCACTTTTAACGGCGTTCCTTTCTTCTTCGAAGCGATCTTTAAATTTACGAATTTAGAGGTGAAGAAATATAATGCACGACATGGTCACTGATTGGTTACTTAGAAATCCTTGACCCTCCTTTTTTTATTGGAAGAATGTTCGATTTTTTAGAGGTATTGCAACACTTTCGAGAAACAGTTGGCTGTATCTTCCGTGATGTAATAAAATAAAACCACGAATATATCCTTTTCACATTTCCTCGAAAAGATTCTTTTCGTTTACGTGAGCGAAGCAACGAAACCGTTCAAGCCACGGTTAATTTGTCTGAACCGCGCGAAGTCGACGTTAATGGCTGGTCCAGTGGTGCCAATAGCGATAAATACGGCTGATGTAACGCAGCCTGTCCCTTTCCCTCGCGTTCCGTCTTTCACTCAGATGCCGCGTTCGCAGCAGCTTAAAGAAACGCAATTTCCGAGAAAATTATTTTATTAATTAAACCAAGGTTTCAGGTTTCACGTTGATTAACGCGATATTGCCAGTCTATCGATATTTCTTAACTTTTCACGCGTTAACCGATCCACAAGAAATCGATCATCGATTCGACGTTCGACGTCCATTCCACGAGAGTGTCCATAGTGTTTACTGTTCTCACGTGCAATTACAAATTGTTTGTTTCTGATTAATTTTATGTGATTAGAGATAAATCGCAGTGCGAAGAATATTAATTTTTATGCAATTTGTGCTAGTTGACACGTGCTAATTGAAACCGTGAAAAAAAGTGAAGCTTAATTATTAAATGTGATTTTGATTCTGGTTGATTTGTGTGCTTTACAGGTTGTTAATGGTGATAAAATTTAGTTGATGCTTTTTTTGTGTCTGTGTTGTTCCAGTTTTTAAAATCACTTATTTAATACAGAATATTTTGAGTTTAGGTGAAATTTTGTCAGTTCAGAGAATTTTTCTTCTTCGTAGTCCATTGATAACCATTAAACGCTTCAAGCTTCGTATATATTCTTTAACCTGTGTAACATTCTGAGTACTAGAATTTTTTCAACGAGCCGCAGGTGAGTCAAAGCTTTCGATGTCTGTAACTTCGAATTCTTCGGAGTGTTAATAAACGTCGTATACTTCGAACAGCGGTCGTAAAAATGTTCTTTTATTTCTAACACCGCAGAAACAAAATGGAAAAAAATCTGCAACACTTCCTTGAATACTTTGATCTCAGAACGATGAATAATTAATTGACAGGTGTCTGCCAATGTCTAATACGTTTCTCTCGATGTTTCAAAGTGCTTCGAAGCTCTTCAAAGTGGTCAAGTGAACAGAAAATACTCAGAATTAGCATAGAAGGAACATCGGTCGATTCAGAGACAATTTCTCGAGGTCTGCAACGTTTCAAGTCTCTAGAAGACTTTCAACGGACAACAAACGTTAAACACAAACATAACCTGTCTTCGACTCTGTGTACTTCACAGTCAATTTTAAATCGTCCAAGAAACTCGTAACACGTTCGATTGAAATATTGTCATTTTAATTGTTCCAGTCTCTGCACTACAAAATTGATCGTGCAACAGAGATAAACTTTATCCTCAAGTTCTGGCAAGTTTCAGTCACAGTCGTAGCTCCTTCTCGTGCAATAACAACAAATAATCGCGATACATAAATCGGCGCCACGTTTCCACGGAAGACGAACGCAACAGCTGTGCGGGAATACGTAAATAGTTTGCGTTGGAATGCAAATTGGACTCCCTTTTTATGACCTTGGCGCCGAAATAAGGCTTTTCGACTTGATCGAGGACAAGTTTATCGGAAGTATCAATCGTTGATTAGTTCCGCTTGCCTGCAAGCTATCTTCGTACCTTACAAATCCTCGACTCGATTTGAAGCGACGCAAAGTTGACCTCAAAAAATTGGAAAATTCATTTTCTTTTGTTAGAATATTTGTTTTCTCGTTTTAATTCCATTTGAAAATGGTTCTGTGAAGACTTTCTACACCCCAGGTGGAATTCTTCGAGCTTCGTTGCCAACAGATTTGTTTTCTTTTTCCAAATACAGCCACTTCCCTCCCTCCTAGTTTCGTTAAAACGATGTTATCGTTTACAGAGCTGACCGATTAAACGATCGAGAAATTATATCGTATGTTTCCTTCTTACTGCAACAATTTTACGGTCTTTTTATCTACTATATAAACATTTCATACGCGCTGCCGCATTTCCAATATCGAACACGGTTAATGAAATATCTCCGTTGCTTTGAGGATTCTTTCAGACCATACGAGTTCCAATAACACACACCCAGTTGACAAAGATTGTTGTCGATTAATTTGTCTTTTATTTATGTATACATCGAGGATCCAGCTTGACATTTAATCCATAGAAATCACTTTTACACACAACGTTGAATTCTCCCATTTTAGCGACGATATTCAGAGGCGATGTGAATGGGGTATTCACTGCTCTTTCGAGCCACTGCACACGAACGTGGAGTTTCAACGACGGCCTTGGGCGGTGCAGCGTGGCTATAAATCTTTTGGCCACGGAACAAGGTCGAGAATGCTGTGGATACGTAATATTAAAGTTCAACGACTCGATTGCTCTCGATCTCACGGATCCTAATCTCCAACCTAACCTCTTTCTTTTATATGTCAATCTTACCCATAAATTTAAGGTGAGGATTTCTTGTAGTCGTTAAAAGTATACGATAGTTATCCTTTTATTTTTTATTCATATATTTATTTATTATTATTGTTATTACTATTAGTGTCAAATAGAAGCACGATTTATTATTCGAAATTATAGAGATGTAAGAGTTATTTTAGGAATATTTTTCTTGAAATCACTGAATTGTATTTCTTTTTCCAAATGATCGACGCGGAGTTTTCGGTTGCGAGACGAGCGACGGGAGCCGATTGTAAGCGTCGCGCGACGAGAAACGACGTCCGGTAAACTGAAAACGCGATCTGTGATCCCGACGAGTTTGCCGCCTCGTCGTGTTCCTTCGCATGCGCTTAGAAAGCTCCCGCGACGCCGCGCCGTTCG